GCAAAAGTTAGCATGGAAGCTGAGAATGAAGAGGGAGAAGAAGAGGAGGAGAGAGGAAGTGAATAAGATGACCGCAACAGTGGCAAAGGTGCAGGAGTGTAGAGCGGAGGTGCTGGCCCAGCCAGATGATAAGGCCAAGTGGGACAAAGTACTGGGCTATCTTGAGGTGCTGAGCAAGGCCTGGATGGAGGAGCGCCAGACAAGCTGGAGCCAGGATGTAGCGTTGAGTGTCATGCGGTCCGGGTTCAGGGATTTTGCGCGCGAAATCGCCACCCACATTGGGGGCGAAGTCAAACAGTTGAGGGACAATGTAGGGAAGTTTTGTGAGGGCGCCATTCAGGGTGCCAAAGCTGCAGCCGCTGTAGAAGGAGAGGGCAGACCCCGTAAGGACCCAGTGAAACTTAAGTTCCCAGACGCGTATGGGGGGAAGAAGGACGAAAACTTTGACAACTGGGAGGCCAGTGTCAATAGTTACATTTACTTTCAGCATATCCTGATAGAGGAACAAGTCCTCGTGGCCTTCCAGGCCCTGAAAGATGAAGCGGCTAGTTTCGCCAGGTCCCTTGCGCGTACAGCCGGTTGTGAAAACAACCTGGTTGCCTATTCCAAAGTTACCCCTCTTTCCCAATTCCTCAAGCTCCTCAAGGAGCGTTTCGCTGACCCAACGCGAGGCATTAGAGCCTCTGACAAGCTGCAAACGATCCACTCRMGGCAGTGGAGKAGTGCCAAGGCACTCAAAGGTACCATGGACGACTTGGTAGCCGTCCCGGACCACGGGGTTACTGAGCCCYAGCTRGTCCAGTTGTTTTATCGTGCCATTCCAGAGGCCCTACGCGGGCATTTCTTTGACAAATYTCAGCAGGCCGGCATAACTTACGATGCATTGAGTCGCGAAGTCGTCCTGTATGAGTCGAAGTCTATGCCAGTTACCACTTTCTGGCATAAGGACTTAGAGAAGGGGAAGAAGTGGAAGAATCGTACCATCTTAGGCCAAGTAAAGGCCAAGGATCACATGATCCAGACATTAGAAGAAGGTGGTACCGATGAGGTCCCATATGACCAGATTGAGTGGGGTCTTGAAGATGATGGCAGTAGTGTGGGGCAGGGGAGGTCTTACGTTGTTGTCGCGGCTGGGGGGAGGCCGCAAGGAGGAGGAGGAGGCCGGGGCCAAAGGGGCCAGGCCATGGGTGGCCGAGGACCGGGCGCACAGGGGGTTGGCGGGCAGGGAAACCACCAAGCGGGAGGTAGGGGTCAAGGTCCCCCGTCAAATCGCCAAGGTTCATTTCGGTCCCCACAGCGAGGAGGTGGAAGGGCACCTCAAGGAGGATGGCACCCAGGCTTGCCACAGGGCAGGCCCTGGGAAGATTTGGGCTTGGACCAGCGCGTATGGCAAGAACGCGTGGACCAGGTCAGTGCATATTCTGTGGTGACCCGGCCCACGTTATCAAATTTTGTCCAAAGTATAGATAGGCCCGTTGGGCTGCTCAATCGTCAAAAGGCAGCCGCCAGTAGGGGTCGCAACTGCCCCTACTTCCAGGCCATGTGGAGAAGTGAGCGCGCGCGAACAGGACACTCCCAACCCACATGAGCCTATGGAAGAGGTTGCAGGCCTGTGCCTAGATAGCTGTCCAGAGACCGCCTGTGTTAGCGTCTCTTTAGGCACGTCCGTCACAGGTGTGGCAGAAGAGTTAAAGGAGAGGATGCCAGCCTGGGCCAAAATGAAAAAGGAGAGCAAGGGACAACTGATTTTGGTAGATATAGAGGTGTTTAGAAGTAGAGTAGGGGCCCTTATAGACTCAGGGGCTACCCGTAGTTATATCAGCCGTAGGGCGCTGAAGAAGTTGAGGCTGGGACTAAAAGTCCAAAAGCTAGTAGACCCCATAGTCAATGTCCTCGCAGGCAACCGCACGATGCGCGTTGAGGACTATGTAGAGGGAGTCCAGACATATTTTCGCCTAGAGAAGGATGGGAAGGTGGAGAAAGTTCTCCATTCCCTGACTCTCCTCGTGCAGGATGACCTTCCTTTCGATATAGTGTTAGGAATGGATTGGGGAGAGGCAGCAGGGGCTACACTTCATTTGAGAGAGCATGAGTGTAGGCTCCCTAGTCCGTCAGGCGAGGTTAAGACTGTCCGCTTGTTCCATGTGTCTAGTGTAGATAGCACCTTGGCACATTGCTGTCTCAGTGCTCCCGTGTTCGCGCGATTAGTAAAGAAGGAGAAGTTAGAAGACCAGGTCTTTGTAGTTTATGTTAGACCTGTCACTGAGGCCCAGGAAAAGGATAGTTCCACAAATCCAACAATTGCCAAGCTTCTGGAAGAATTCAAAGACTTGACTGAGTCGCCGACAGGAGTAGTGTCGCGACCCATCCAGCATAGGATAGAGATAGAGCCTGGCAGCAGAACCTCTAAGGGTGCAGTCTACAGGATGTCCCCTAGAGAGTTAGAGGAGCTTCGCAAGCAGTTAGACGAACTCCTTGAGAAAGGTTGGATCAGGCCCAGTTCGTCTCCTTTTGGAGCACCCGTTTTGTTTGTCCCTAAGAAGGAAGGAGAGCTGAGAATGTGTATAGACTATAGGGGTTTGAATGCGATCACCGTGAAGAATGCTGAGCCGCTGCCCAGGATAGACGATCTTTTAGATCGGGTGCAGGGTTGTAAGTATTTCTCTAAAATAGACTTAAAGTTCGGATACCATCAGATAGAAGTCCATCCTGATGATCAGTACAAGACTGCATTCCGGACTAGATATGGGCATTATGAGTTTATAGTGATGCCCTTTGGACTGACCAACGCGCCAGCTACTTTTCAGCGTTGCATGAATGACCTGTTTAGACCGTGGTTAGATAAATTTGTGGTAGTCTACTTAGATGATATCCTAGTCTTTAGCAAGACCCTCCAGGAGCATCAGGGTCATCTGAGGCAGGTCTTGGAGAAGCTTAGAGAGGCTAACTTCAAGATCAACGCGAAGAAGTGCGAGTGGGCCAAGACACAAGTTTTGTACTTGGGCCACATATTAGACGAAGATGGCATCAAGCCAGAGGACAGCAAGATCGCAGCGATTAGAGATTGGCCGACGCCCCGCACATTGACAGAGTTGCGGTCGTTCCTAGGCTTAGCTAACTACTACAGGAAGTTCGTGAGGAACTTCTCCACTATCGCCGCTCCCTTGCGTCGATTGCTGAAGAAAGAGGCAATCTGGCAATGGGACAAGGACTGTACGTTTGCGCTCAAGAAGCTAAAGCGCGCGTTAATAGAGTATCATGTCCTCAAAGTTGCAGATCCGTCTTTGCCATTTGTCGTCACCACGGACGCGAGCCAGTATGGGATAGGCGTCGTGTTGCAGCAAGATGACGACAATGGCTATAGACCCGTAGAGTTCATGTCAGCGAGGATGCCCTGTGAGAAGGTCGCTACCTCCACGTACGAGAGAGAACTCTACGCTCTCCSGCAGGCTTTAGACCATTGGAATCACTATCTGCTTGGGAGGCACTTCAAAGTGTATTCGGACCACGAAACGCTTAGATGGTTAAAGACTCAGGCCAAGATGACACCTAAGTTGACTAGGTGGGCCGCAGAGATAGACCAATTCGACTTTGAGCTCAAGCCAGTGAAGGGCAAATACAACGTAGTTGCGGATGCTCTGAGTAGGAGATCAGAATAGTTTGGAGCCGTAGTACACTATCTGGATATAGGGAGAGACCTGCAGGAGAAAGTGAGACAAGCATATACGCAGGACCCTATCTATAGTGACCTCCTAAAGAGAGTTAGAGAGGCCCCAGAGACCGAACCAGATTACCGC